AGCTAGAATAGCTCAGTGGTTGAGCATCGACCTATGAACCAGGAAGTCACAGTTTGATTCCTGGTCAGAGCACATGCCCCGAGTTGCTGGCTCAATCCCCAGTGTGGGGTGTGCAGGGCAGGAGGCAGTCAATGAAATGATTCTCTTTCATCATTGATGTCTCTCTCTCTCTCTCTCTCTCTCTCTCTCTCTCTCTCTGAAATCAATAAAAAAATCTATAAAAAAGTAAAAAATAACCAGGACAATTGTCCCAAACTTCTTGGATATTCTTAGCTCAGAGGAAACCATATTCATACATGAAGGGTCTAAACCAGTTCTACCAGCACTGGCTCCTATCAAAAGGGAAGAAAATTCAGAAGAGTAGCATAGACTAGATCATGATCTCTAAATACTATTTTCCATAAAAATGATGAGGGATTCTTGGAGAAATGGCTGGTTCCAGGTCTGTGAAAGGAAAGACAGTAGATGAACCTGGAACATCTTGTTAGTCAGAAAGGGAGGTTAGTCAGAAGATATCAGACTACTGGGGACATGCTAGAGGGATCAGGGACTGTTTGAAGTGCTCCTACTAACCATAGATTAGACAATTAGAACACCAAAAAGAATAATGACTACAATGGATGAAAATATGTCATGTACTGTTAAATTCCATGAGTTTATAAGCTAAAATTAAAAACTAATTTGACTTATGTCTTACAATGGTGATTATGAGGACTGTGATAATAGAAATAATCAGTGGCATACCTAGCATATTTGATGCTTCATATAGCTTGTCTGTACCAAAAAATTGCTTCCTGTAATAGTTACTCATGAAATGAAATCAACAAAAATAGTGGTTAGAAAAAAGGATGGCCATAAAAACCTTCTTTTAGTAAACTTTGTACATATGAAAATAAGTAATAAATAAAATCAATATTAAAGTGCAAATATAAAAAAGTAATTATTTTAAAATTATATAAATGTATTTTTGTTTGACTGCACACTCATTTTTATTAAAGTACAGTTGACACATTCATGTATTTTTATTTTATTTTACTTTTTCCTCACCATCTATGCTCTCTATGCACACTTCTACCCCCTCACTCTGAGCAATCAATGTATTTTTTAAAAAGAGAATAACAGATAAGGTTGTTAGCTATGCTAATTATTATGGACTGAATGTTTGAGTCTCCCCCAAATTTGTATGTGTAAACCCTAACTCCCAGTGTGGGTGTAGGAAGTAATTATATTCAAATAAGCTCATAAATTGGGGCCCTGATCTGATAGGATTAGTGTCCTTGTAAGAAGAGACTTCAGAGAGTTCACTCTCTTTTTCCATGTGAATCCACTGAGAAAAGACCATGTGAGAATGGAGAAGTCAGTCATCTGCAAGTCAGAAGGGGAATCTGGAAACTGAATCAGCCAGAACCTTGATCTTGCACATCTACTCTCCAAGACTGAGAGAAAATTAATTTCTGTTGCCTAAGCCATCCAGTCTATGGTATTTTGTTATGGCAGACCAAGCAGACTAATATACCAACATATTGGTCTGTTTTAATAATAAATATATAACATTAAGTTGTTCATTGAACTTTAATTTTTGCAAATTTGTCAATAGCTTTGTCAAAGTTGATTTTATTTATATAGTTTTATTTAACAAATTGTCTAGCCAGATTTGCCAATCAATCTTTGCACATAAGTGAAGAATACTTTTTATTCATTTTACTTTCAAAGTTTTTGTCACAAAAAGCCACAATATAAAACTAGACAAAAATCACAAACACAAACCCAGGTTGGGATGAGATTCATAAAAACTCATTGTACTATAAGTTTCAGAAATTTAAAACAGAAGAAAACTTTAAGTGGTACCACAGAATGACAGAACCGAAGCTGCTTAAGTGCTACTTCTTCATCTTTTCCATTATGAGTTATCATTGTTTATTTTGAATCTACTATTTAACTCAGAAATATATAGCTTCACAAGTGTTGCTAACGACACCCAAAGAGATCTTGATGATTCAAAACTATTATGAATTTACTCTCAAAATGAGTGCGTAGCTGTGTCTGCATATATTGGTGATTCAGAAATCTTTAAATTAACTTTGTAGTAGAATTTTTATTATCGCATCCTACTTAAAAGTTAATTCAAAGAATCCTAAGTCACCCGTGCAATTATTTAGAACTGAGAACAACAATTCTTTGAGGAGTACTTATCTCTGATGTTGTTTGGAATTATTGGCATACTGTGATAATAAAAAGCAGGTTAATATTAAGTCAGCTTTATCATTGCTTTTAATTTCTCCAGAAACAAGGCACTTCCTTATTTTACTGCCCTGTCTTTGTGGGAAGTCCCTAGTAATGATAATAGTTAACATTTGTTGAGCACATCAGAATTAAATGCAAGCTCAATCACTGTGATGAATAAATGATTTAATAAACTGGGAATACTGAAATGCCTTTTTCAACATGTTTTATGTTGGTTCCTGTCCATATTTTCTTTCTGGTCTAGAAGACTTGGAGCTGGCTGTTCAATTCTTATAAAATTATTTTTAATAAAACCATTTTTACTGATTTCAGAGAGGAAGGGAGAGGGAGAGAGAGATAGAAACATCAGTGATGAGAGAGAATCATTGATTGGCTGCCTCCTGCACGCCCCCTACTGGAGATTGAGTCCAAAACCGAGGTATGTGACCTTGACCAGAATCAAACTCGGGACCCTTTAGTCCACAGGCTGACGATCTATCCACTGAACCAAAACAGCTAGGGCTCTTATAAAATTACTAGAGGCCCGGTGCACAAAAATTTGTGCACTCGGGGGGGAGGGGGGGCTCCCAGCCGGCCTGTGCCCTCTCGAAGTCTGGGACCCCTCGGGAGATAATGACCTGCTGGCTTAGGCCTGCTCCCTGGTGGCAGAGGGCACGCCCAATCCCTAGGTGCAGCCCCTGGTCACGCTCAGGGTAGGGCCGATTGGGGGGTTGGGGCACCATCCCCTGTCACACTCAAGGCAGGGTCGATGGGGAGGATGCGGCGCCACCCCCTGTCACTCACAGAGCAGGGTCCATCAGGGGGGTTGGGGCTCCGTACCCTGTCACACACAGAGCAGGGTCGATCAGGAGGTTGAGGAGCTCCCCCATATCACTCACAGAGTAGGGCCGATAGGGGAGTTGGGGCACCGCCCCCTGTCACACACAGAGCAGGGCGGATCAGGGGGTTGGGGCACTGCACCCTGTCACACTCAGGGCAGGGCCAATGGGGAGGTTATGGCTCTACCCCGTTACACACAGAGCAAGGCCCGTGGAGAGGGGTTGGGGCGCCACCCTCTATCACCCCCAGAGCAGGGCCGATCAGGGGGTTGGGGCACCGCCACTGTCACACACAGAGCAGGGCCGATCGGGGTGTTGGGGTGCCACACCCTGTCACACACAGAGCTGCAGGGCGATCAGGGGGTTGGGGAGCTCCCCCCTAACAGGCACAGAGCAGGACTGATCAGGGGGTTGGGGCGCCTTCCCCTGTCATGAACAGAGCAGGGCAGATAGGGAGGTTGTGGCCCCACCCCCTGTCACACACAGAGCCACAGGGTGATCAGGGGGTTTGGGCGCTGACCCCTGTCACGCTGATCCCGGTGCCGGGAGGCATATTACCCTTTTACTATATAGAATAGAGGCCTGGTGCACAGGTGGGGGCCGGCTGGTTTGCCCTGAAGGGTGTCCTGGATCAGGGTGTGGGTCCCCACTGGGGTGCCTGGCCAGTTTGGCTGAGGGGCTGAGGGCCGTTTTCAGGCTGGTGGGTGACTGAAGCTCCCAACTGCTCTTTTTCTTCTTTTTTTTTTTCCTATTCTTGGCCAGCTTTAGCTCTGAGGCCTCGCTGCTGAAAGCAGGTTTCTGGCCTTTACCTTCTGTATTTGATACAATATTGCGGTCAGGCTGGCTGAAGCCCGGCTGACTGAAAGCCGGTTTCTGGGGTTTTGTTTAGCTTCCATATTTGCAACATAGTTGCTTAGAGTTGCAGCTGAGAGGCCGGCAAGTCAGGTGGGGAACGTTGGAGTCTGCAGTCACTGGAGCAAGCAAGCCTCATGTTCGCTTCCAGCTGCCTGGCTGCCGGCCGCCATCTTGGCTGACAGTTAATTTGCATAAGGATATGCTGATTAGCCAATGGGAAGGGTAGCGGTCTTATGCTAATTACCATGTTTCTCTTTTATTAGTGTAGATGAACTCAACAAACTGACTTGGGATTGTATGTGATGGAGGGGAAGAATGCTTGGGGATAAAAGGAAATCATGCTGGCTTATTTCTCTAATCATGAGGTCCTATAGCTCCACTTTACTCTCTTCGTAATGGTTTCCCTCATAGTTTGTTGATACATAAAAGCATATAAAACCGTAAAAGTGATCATGTTTTCCTATATTCTATAAGTTATTTTTATGGAAGTACATGAATGGTGTTACTTATTGTTTCTTCACATTAATCATTTGGGAGAATTTGCCTTCTGTGAATAGAATATAAAGGTAAAGGGCCTGGCTGGATGGCTCAGTTGGTTAGAACATCATCCTGATTCACCAAGGTTGTGGGTTTGATCCCTGGTCAGAGCACATGTAGGAACTAACCAATGAATGCATAAGTAAGTGGAACAACAATGGATGATTCTCTCTCTCTCTCTCTTGCTCCCTCCTTACCTCCCTTCCTATATGTCTAAATTCAATTTTAAAAAAAGAAGTACAAATTGGTAGTTACAAAATAGTTACAGGAATATAAAGTACAGCATAGGGAATATAGTCAACAATATTGATAATATTGTAATAACTATGTATGGTGGCAGGGGGTACTGGAAATATCGGGAGGAACACTTTGTAAAATATATGATTGTCTCTAGTCACTATGCTGTACACCTGAAATTAATAGAAAATAATATTGGCTCCCCACCTGCCGCTCTCCGTGGGTTCTCTCCTTAGTCAGCTGCGTCCTTAGCCGCCCGCCCTAGTCCCGAGCTTGGAACTCGTGGACCCGACTGGCGTTTTGGGGGCAGAGAGGCCGGAGTGGGAGCGTCTCCCGATGCCTTTCATCTGAGAAGTTCAAGGCACTTGGTAGAGCTTCTGCCACAGGCCGCGCGTGGGTCTTGCAGCACATTTGTAAGCAATGGCTGCCATCCGGAAGAAATTGGTGATTTTGGTGATGGAGCCTGTGGCAAGACTGGCTTGCGCATCGTTTTTAGCAAGGACCAGTTCCCAGAGGTGTACGCACCCACGGTGTGTGAGAACTACGTGGCAGACCCTGAAGTGGAGGGAAAGCGGGTCGAGTTGGCTTTGTGGGACACGGCCGGGCAGGAGGATTAGGATCGCGTGAGGCCCCTCTCCTACCCGGACACTGATGTTATCCTGATGTGTTTCTCCATTGACAGCCCTGATAGTTTAGAAAACATCCCAGAAAAATGGACTCTGGAAGTCAAGCATTTCTGTCCCAATGAGCCCATCGTCCTGGTTGGGAACATGGGAACATGGGTACATGGAGTGTTCAGCAAAGACCAAAGATGGAGTGAGGGAGGTATTCGCAAAGGCCACGAGAGCTGCTCTGCAAGCCAGACGTGGGAAGAAAAAATCGGGGTGCCTTGTTTTGTGAACTCTGCTGCAAGCACAGCCCTCACGCGGTTCATTTTGAAGTGCTGTTTATTAATCTGAGTGTATGACTCCTGGCCTTTTTCATTTATCTATAATTTACCTAAGATTACAAATCAGAAGCCATCTTGCTACCAGCATTTAGAAGCCAACCATGATTATCAATGATCCAGACCACCTGGCCCTCCAGGCCCTCTGACAGGGCTCTAACAGCCCTCCTCTGTGCTCCCACCTGACACACCAGGCGCTAGTGCAAGGAATTCCTTAACTTCTTGCTTCTTTCTAGAAAGAGAAATGGTAACTTTTGTGAGTCAGGCTGTAACTACTTCATAACTAACATGGCTTGCCTGTCATCTGTCAGCTGCAAGGTGCTCTGGTGAGCTACCACTTCAGAGCTTTACTCCGAGCAGATTTCATTGTGGTACCTCTGGAGTGGGCACCAGTTTTTTCAAAATGTGCTCAGCCAGAGAGGCCCTAGTTCATGCAGCTGTGGCAAAGTTACAGCTTTGTGGTTTCATGTTTGTTACCTTATAGTTACTGTGTAATTAGTGCCACTTAATGTATCTTACCAAAAATATATGTATATCTACCCCCCCCAAATACAAAATAATATTAAATGAAAAATATAATTCGAAAAATAATTGTTTTATTTTTATACAGATTCTAGTGGGAAATTATTTCTATTTTTCCTTTTCAACCTTATTTACATTATGGAAAGAGAAGGTATTTAAATTTTCCCTTTATTTTTTGTTCTTTTATTTGTTAAATATCTAAGCTGGTAACCTTTTGGTAATTTGTTTCCCAAGTCATATTACTCAAGGAAACCATGCCGCTGAGTATGCCAATATCAGCCTGTATTTTTCCAGCTTATTAACTTGTCTGCTCAACTCAGCTTTCTCTATCCTACAGGGCCCCATCTGCAGTTTTAGCAATATTGATGATTAATTCTATAAAGGGTGGTTTAAACTGCAAAGAAGTATACCTGGAACTGAGCCAGAGAACGGCCATATCCTCTGAGATATCTCTACAGCATAGAAAGAAATGTTTTCTGAGACATTTCTATTACCTTGCTGAAAGATAGTCTAGAAGCTCCTGGTCTAAGTGCTTCTGGAGGGCCATGGCAATAAGTTAGAAGATTGTAAACTTGCAAGACAAATGACCCAGTTTAGGCCCTCATAGTGACTGTATGTTAGATATGAGGAAAGTGCAGTATTTCTCACACTCAAAAAGGAACATTCTGCCTTCCGAACTATTTGTTAAATTTTTCATCTGGCACAACTCCCACCCCGCCCCCCCCTAATTTTTGTTGTAATTGTATCACTGCATGGCAATCTGAGTACGTGCAACGATATCTTAGCAATATAGAACAGTGCCAGTTTTCAAATGGTTATTTCCACCATTTTGAGTCATGTGATCTGAGACTAGCTTATTTTTCCAAAATGTCAATTTCTTCATTTATAACATCCTCTTTTCAGGGTGGTTGTGAAGATTACACAGACAACGAGTGTGAAAGTATCTGGCACAAAGCATCAAATCGGTGTGGACTCAGAAAGGCAATGTTAGGTTTCAAGAATTCCCTGAGTCTGTGGAACACCTGTATTCACAGCTGCCTGACATATTCTTGAATTATTTGGTATTTAGAAGTCAAAGGGTGAAACTTTTTGATAAGAGATGCATATATGTTTTAAGCATATATATTTTAAATCTTGAAAAACAAGTTTACTTAAATTAGTTAAAACGAGAAAATTATATTTTAGATGTTCTTAAACTAATATAGGTAAGTTTATTTAGTGTTACATTTACTGAAAATATTTAGAGATACTTTGTCTCAGTGACTTTTTCTTGCTAATGAATTATTTGTAAAAAAATAGGAGGAAAGAGGTTTGATCTGATTATTCTATCTAATAAAAGAATAATATGCAAATTAACCATCACTCCGTCACTCTGTCACAAAGATGGTGACGGCCCCGGAGCTGGAGCGAGCAGGAGGCTTGGGTTGCCCCCGGCGATGGAAGAAGCCAAGCTTCCCGCCTGCCCTGGCTGGCACTGGGCTCTGCTCAAGGCTACAAAGTTTCAATTATAGAAGATAAATAAACCCCAGATACCTGCTTCCAACCAGCAGTGGCCTCCGCTCAAGGAGGGGCTGGGGGGCAACCCAGGCTTCCAGGACCTGAGCTCCACTCAAGGCTACAAAGTTTCAATTATAGAAAATAAATAAATCCCCCCAAAAAAATAAAAGAAAAAAAGGAGAGGCTGGACCCCGCCACCCTGAAGGCACCTTGGCCAGCCTGAAAAAAGCCCTAAGCCCCTCATCCAGGCTGGCCAGGCACCCCAGTGGGGACCCCCACCCTGAAGGGGGTGTGACCAGCCTCAAAACAGCTCTCAGCCCCTCACCCAGGCTGGCCAGGCACCCCAATGGGACCCCCCCACCCTGAAGGGGCTGTGGCCAGCCTGAAAACAGCCATCAGCCCCTCACCCAGGCTGGCCAGGCACCCCGGCGGGACCCCCACACTGATCCGGGACACCCTTCAGAGCAAACCAGCCAGCCCCCACTCATGCACCAGGCCTCTATCCTATATAATAAAAGGGTAATATGCAAAATGACCCTAACACCAGAACGACTGGGAATGACTGGTCACTATGACACACACTGACCACCACGGGGCAGATACTCAATGCAGGAGCTTCCCCCTGGTGGTCAGTGGGCTCCCACAGGGGAAGCTCTGCTCAGCCACAAGCCAGGATGACAGCTGCCAGTACAGCGGTGGTGGCGGGGGCCTCTCCCACCTCCTCAGCAGCGCTAAGGATGTCCGACTGCAGCTTAGGCCTGCTCCCTGCTGAGAAGTGGACATCCCCCAAGGGCTCCCGGGCTGCCAGAGGGATGTCTGACTGCCAGCTTAGGCCCGATCCCCCAGGGAGCAGGCCTAAGCCAGCATGTGGACATCCCCTGAGAAGTTCCAGACTGCGAGAGGACACAGGCCAGGCTGAGGGACCCGCCTGAGTGCACAAATTTTTGTGCACTGAGCCTCTAATATAGAATAATTAAATGAGGATATAATAGTATCAGTGATTACATTGTCATTTCTCCCCCAAATGTCTTATCTTAATGAACCTTTATTTTACTCTTGACTTTATTTATGCTCTATTGTTATAAACTATTAATTATGAAAATAGAGTAAATATTACTAAAAGCCTCCAAAAATTTTATAATATAATTTTCATATCATTTTAATTTAAAATATTTGTAAAATTATAATAGTTATTAGTTTATGGTTATAAAATTTTTAATTCAATGGGATTATGTTTTTTTCTTAGTTTCATATAGGAACTTTTTAAAACAGTTGTCAGTATTATAATTTCCTATCATTTAAGCATGCAGTTTTATTTATTGTGTCTTTTAGACATTTCCCAATCAATCACATTGCCACTGTGATTGTTTGGTCATCTCATTGGTCCTTTATTTTGACAATTTAAATTGTAACTTGGCTATTATCTCTTTATGTAATCTTTTCTGCTTCAAACCCTGCTCCACAATATAATCAGTCATTTAAAAAAATGAGATCATAGCAATTCTTTCTTTAATACCATTATATGGTTTCTAATAGCTAGAAGAAAAAGTTTAAACTACCTAGCTCTGTGTAGAAAAAAGGCTTTAATAATCTCCCCAATTTTCCTTCCTGATGTGTCTCCAGCACATTAGTGCATTTAAGTTGCTCAAGGTGTTTTGATGAATGAATGAATGAACCTCCCATTTCAGGTTCCTTCTGCCTACCTACTCTCTGCTCCATTCCCACACTCAGCTCTTGCTTTGCCTTGAACATGCTATGCTCCTTCCTTCCCCATATGCCAACTGCATGTAAGCCTGCAGAAAAAGGTTTCAGTAAAACAAAGGGATTTTGTCTGTGAGATTCATTAATTTGGGGCCATATTCAAATGCAGAGAAGAGGGTTGGCATAGTTACATGTTACAAGACAAGGCACTCATATAGGCACTGATAAAAGTATCAGACTGTTTATAACTGGACCTTTACTTTAATCATATCCTTATTGTTGATTAAATTTTATGATTCTAGAAAAGTAAGCTCAGAAAATGAAATAACACTGTTTCATAATGATAAAATGCATGGATTTCTTTTACAGTAGGCATCTCACAATGTTCGGAAGAAGTCTTTTGGGGAGAAGAAGAAAGTGAATATTGAAACAGTTTTAAGAGAGAAGAGAGTTTTGAGAAAGAGCTGTAGAAAGAACTGAGTGATTTCCTTTTACCTTCTAGAACAGCTGTGGGCAAACTACGGCCTGCAGGCCGGATCTGGCCCGTTTGAAATGAATAAAACTAAAAAAAAAAAAAAAGACCGTACCCTTTTATGTAATGATGTTTACTTTGAATTTATATTAGTTCACACAAACACTCCATTCATGCTTTTGTTCTGGCCCTCCGGTCCAGTTTAAGAACCCATTGTGGTCCTCGAGTCAAAAAGTTTGCCCACCCCTGTTCTAGAATGAGCTAAACACATATAGGAGCCTGGGGAGAGCAGGATAACAGGGGAAGGTGTGGCCAGGCACCCCAGTAGGGACCCCCACCCTAAAGAGTGAAAACAGAGCCCGACTGGTGTGGCTCAGTGGTGAGCGTTGACCTATGAACCAGGAGGTCATAGTTTGATTCCTGGTCTGGGCACATGACTGGGTTGCGGGCTCTATTCCCCATAGTGGGTGTGCAAAAGACAGCCGATCAATGATTCTCTGTCATTGCTGATGTTTCTATCTCTCTTCCCCTCTGAAATCAATAAAAATATATATTTTTTAGAAAGATCATTCTACAATCATTTAAGATTACTGTTGTGGAGTAATCCTATATAATAAAAGGCTAATATGCAAATAGAGTGAATGGCAGAACAACCAGAACAACCGAACAAACAACCGGTCGCTATGACATGCGCTGACCACCAGGGGGTGTGTGTGTGGAACATGGTGGACTTTGGCCACGGCGGGATGGTGGAGCAGGTGAGTGGGGGCGCCAGACCAGGGAGGAGCACCAGTTGCTGTCATCAGGGCAAACCTCTGGTGGTTACTGAAAATTCTTTGCTCCCTCACGCCACGGTCCCGCCCAGCACTTGCACCTGCTGTTGCTGCTGGCCCTGCTCACACCTGCTGCTGGTGCCCAGAGCTGGTTCCGATCATTCAGTGCCAGCAGCTGGTGCGAGCAGTGGCTGCCAGGCCCTGATCGCCCCTGAAGGCTTCTCCCCCTCCCCCTGCTCCTTTGGGGCAATTGGGGCAGCAGCCGCCAGTCACACCAGCTGCTGGCGCTGGCCCCAATTGCTCTGTGCTGTCAGCATGTGTGAATGGGGCCTGTGCTGTCAGCGCGTGGGTGCGGTGGTGGTGGGAGTGGGGCTGCCGGCAGACAGGGGACTGGAGCCACGGTGGGAGGGGCCGGGTGAGGGCGCGGAGCATGGGCCAAGACCCATACTTGTGTCTACCGCAGCCTCACGGCCCACAGTTCCTTTCAAGGTGCACAAATTCGTTCACTGGCCCCTAGCTCTATATAAAAAAAAGGCTAATATGCAAATTGACCATCACTCCAACACACAAGA